AGGCAGCACTGAGATCAAGAAGGATGAGTATGGAAAGAGAACCAGAATCAGAAGCTATTAGGAGATCGTTGGTGACTTTGACTAGGGCGGTTTCTGTGCTGTGAAGTTGACGGAAGCCAGATTGGAGGGGTTCGAAAAGGTTGTTTGTCATGAGGTGGTTATGTAACTGAAGTGTGACAGAACGTTCTAGAATTGTAGAGAGAAAGGGTAAGTTGGAGATGGGGTGGAAGTTGTTAAGATTGTCGAGAGCCATGTTAGGCTTCTTTGGCACAGGGGTAATAGCAGCAGTTTTGAGGACCGTTGGTACAATGCCGGTGCTCAAGGATTCATGTATTATATTGAGGACAATGGGACAGAGAAAAGAGAAACAGGACTGGAATAAAGTGGTGGGAATGGGTTCTAAAATAGATGTGGTGGGTTTCATGCGCATAACTAGTTTGTTTAGGGATGCTGAGTCAAGAAGAGAGAAGCTGGAGAGACGGGAACCAGAGAAGTTGGATGACGAGGGAGGAGGTATGGAAATTATATCCATAGTGGAGAGAATGTGATGCCGGATGTTCTCAATCTTAGAACTATTGTATAAACAATTCTGTTAGCTTGCTGTTGGTAAGGAAGCATCTACAAAGGTTTCAGTGGTGCACATATGACAATGATTCTGATGATTCAATGATTGTGCTTAATAAATTAAATGTAAAAGGTGTTTTTAAATGTTTTTTAAAGTTTGTGGTAATAATTGACTCAATACAAAAATATAACATTGTTGATACTTCCAAAATTCTGAAAAAAAAGTCTGGTTCATATTTTAAAAATATAAATATGTGATACATTGGTTCAACATCATACTGTGTGCTATAATATAGGCACTGTAATGGAAGATATCACATTCGTCAACAAAAGCCTATCTGCCACTTCTGGATCAAAAAAACATGAATCATCAGAATATGATTAATAAAGTGCTGAGACTTTGATGACTGTCTTTTTTAAAAATAGGTTCAAATACATGCATTTTGAGATACTGTAGGTCTTTTTAACTTTATTTATTGGTACACTAATGTGGTAAACAACTTCATTGATCTTCAGTGGCAAAATACAGCAATTCTGACCAATTTTGAAAGGGGTGATGAAAATGATTAATTAAATTGATTAAAATGCTTGAAGTACTTAATATTACAAGGATATTTTGTTATCATGAGACTGAACATAATGGTAGCATGTACAAAATAATTTGTACATAAATTATTTGATTTTGAATACTGAAGAAACAGTGCCCTACACAGTAATGAAGACCAATTCCGAGCAATTCTCAGAAAAAAGGCTTGCCCAGTGCTTGAAGGTTTGTTACTGTTTTAGACATTATCTTTGCACAGCAGACTGCACTGACTCTTATTCTACAGAGTGAATAAGCCATAAACATAATTTACATAAGATTTGTAGACAGGGTACTATAGGTTGGCATATTTTGGGCTACACGTCGGGAAACAGCTTCATTCAGCCCTGACATCACGGTAGACAAGCACTTGGTTCCAATGTTATGAGTGCACTGACAAGTCAGGGCATGGCTGGCTGTGTCGGTATTGCATGATGTACACTGCAGTCTGGTGCCACCAGTAAAACATGAGCACTACAAGAATGTGCCACACCTGATGACTGGAGCCCAGGTAGTTAAGATGCCCTGTAAAAGAAGAAACAAAATAATATATAATAAAGAAATTACAAATAATAACAGATTTTTCCCATTAATCTTTACGATGAGAAACATAAGCATAAGCAGTGAAGTATTTTTCTGTTAAATGTTTCACTTATTTTAGGACTTCAAATAAAGTTTGAAATGTCTTTTGATAGCTGAAATAAACGTTGAAAATGTGGAGTTAATTGTGTTTTTGAGCAATAGCAGTTTTTTGTGACATGTTGCATTCTTCAAAAATTCCTGTAGTAGTTTTGCAGGTCAAAACTTGAATAACCTGTTTTTTTATTAAATATGTTCAGTTTCAAATTAACTCTCACGGAAGTTCATTAACAGAAAAATTCAAAACAGTTTTTGTATATGTTGGTCAGGCCACCATCCTGGTTGATACAGCACATTTGTCACAAATTTATTTTTGTTTGTCCCAGTATACCTGCCTAGCATGGAGTTAGCTGCCTGGTCTACAATACCGATATATTAGAGGTGAAACATACCTGGAAAATATCGTTCTGGAACTTTGGAAATATAAAAGAGAAACGCCAAAGCAGCAATAAAGTACATCACTAGTACTCGGGGAACAAATGCCTGCCATTGAAAAAAGGAATGGCTGTTAAATAAGATTTGAACTTTAGATAAAAGTCAAAACTAGAAGGAGTAAAAACTTAAAATGCAAGAAAAATACTAATGTATCTGAAGTGTTTATATACTATATGGTTACTTTATGCATACATATATAGTATATATAATATATACATACCTGTACTATGAATATACAGAATATATATAATATATACATCTACCTGTATATAGTATTGCAATGGAAAAGGTAATAGGTTTATTCCATGCTGAAACATTCCATGCTCTTCTCTTTTCAGCATGGAATAAACCAATGACTTGTTCCTTTCCAGACTACACATGCTGACGCAGCTACCAACCTGACCAATAGTATTTCAATGATTAGCACAAAACAATTTTTGCAGGAAAAAAGCAAAATATGAATTACAAAAGAGGGTAGAGAGACATGGTAAATCTGAAAAGTTTCAGAAACACCTCACAGAACTGCTTGTGCATCTTACATAAAATGCACAGAAAGGTGTCATCAAATACTGAAGAAAAAGTACCATATGCCAATGTTTTTTCTCCACACAGACACCTTGCCACTCATATTATTTTGAAGAAAACTATTTACTTACTAATAGCCTTTTTCTCAGTAGTAAAAATTAGTCAAAGCTTTAATTTGTGCACAGACTCAATAGATCAACCAAAGATTATTGGAAGGAAATTATCAAGGAAAGTTTAGAATGAGTGCAAAATAAACTGAAGATTTTTTTTTCCAGTGTGACATTATATTAAAGTTCTTCCTTACCTGAACAATAAGGGCACTAAAGCCTCCATTGAGCCATACCCAGTGGATTGTTGGAATGACTCCATAGCCAGCAACAGAGCAGAAGATGATAGAGCGTAGTCTGTGCCACTGCTGAGTGAGGTAATGAGGGTGGATCTGAGCGAAGAACACTGCCAGGATCATTGCCAGGACTGTAATCAAGTATACTTGCCTCCAATACTGCAGAGACAGCAACAAGTCAACACTTTAAATAGCCCTTTTAAAATGCACTCTGGTTACTTGATTTTTGTAAACGTTTCTCTTATAATGTCAACTGTTCTTTTTAAGATGTAAATACTGCAAAGTTGAATAAGATTTTAAGAAACCCTGAAGTGTTTAAAGTCTTGTCTTCTGCACCTTCATGCATAAATGTGAATGTTAAACCACGTACTTTAAAGAAAAACTGATTAAATTTGTAACCAAATAAAACTTTCTTCTTTTTAGTTAAGTTGGTAACGGTATACACTATTTCAATTCTTTTTCGCTGTACAAAAACAGTAGAATAAACTTAAGAGCAGTCTGCATTAAAAAATTACCTTTCTGTACAAAATATTCCATTTTAAAACTCTGATTAGACAAAAAAAATAAAAAATAACTAATTTACTCATCCTTCAAATGCACATGCTTGGCACTCAGTATAGACTTAGCTCACCCACGTGTGAATGTCATATGGTGGGGAAGAGGAGTGACGGAATGGTTTGAAAACGGCCATCTGGTTTTCATTGGAAAAGATTTCAGAAGATTCTAGGGCATGATAACTGCAGATTTCCAATATGTAGGGGATCACATAAACGGCTGAGGCTAAAACTGAAAACTACATCATAAAATACATGCAGATTTTTTTTTTCTTAGTACCCTTTATAGTAGTAGTCAGCATAAAATCTGGACTACATCAATACCCTCAGCTGCAAGAAAACTCCAATTTAATACTAAATTTATAATAACATGGAATATGTAGCTCAAAAATTTCAAATGTATTTACATACTGTAATGTAGAAAATGTTTGAAAAAATAAAAATACATCAGAATACACAGCATTTCTTTGGGGACAAAAAGAAAGGGGCACTCATCATAGTCCATAAAATTATGAATTTAATGCTTTTGATTAGTATGATTAATCTGCTAAAAAAATAGAAATTAAAACAAAGTTAAACTGTAATAAAACCATAAAACCAAAATGGTCCCTCTTGGGGGAAAAAAAAATGAGAATTTGAATTTGAAAGAAAAATTGCTTTTGCATACATTTTGGTCCTTTGGTCATTTTATGAATTTCCTCCAACTTATATAAAATGTCTGAGGCAATCAGACAGAAAAATGATTTTATTTGTGCTTTTCAAAATGTCAGTGACTGTCAATGAACAGTTTCCTTTCACTATAATCTACAGAAAGAGTTATAGTCTGCTATAACAAACTGATAAAGTCTGAAATCCAGTTACAGCAGCAAATCACTTTACAAGACAGAATAATTTGGTTTTCAGGGATTTTTACAAAAAAAAAGTTAAATACGGCAGTTTGGAACTCAAAAGTTAAACAAAAACAGAAACATTCCAGTCCTATAGCATTAGACTTTTTAGATTCCTAATAACTGAACAGAAATGCACTTTAATTTTCATCAATTCATGACTTCACGTAAAGCACTGTGAGAAAATAGAAACATCTAGTTAACTCCTTACAGACATACTTTTATGTAGCTTCAAAGTTGTGCATACAAGATTTTTAACTTACATTGTTACAGTAAAAGGCATAGAAAACTCCTGGAACATAACAGCCAAGGATTCCAATTGAGATTCCAGCATAATCTAAAGCCATCCAACGGCGACTTGTTTTCTCAGATCGATGGCAACAGAACAGATGATAACCAACAGAGCACAGCATGCAAACCTAAAGAGAATCACAAAACCTTATATGAACCCATTCTATATGCAATTCAGACAACCAGTTACTGTACCTTCGTATAATTAGAATTAAATTAAAAACTGACAAATTAAATGGGGGTCTTTGCAACTATTTGAGTAGAGGACTTACAAAAACATTGCACTGTATACTAATGTAATGTAATGTATTAAAATGCACAAATCCATATCTACTTTTGATTGACTATGCATATGAAATTAAACAAGTGAAACAAAGATTAAAAATCAAGAATAACTGCATTAATATCTCCATAATATCTCTATGGCTAAAAGCTCACTGTATGACCTTAAATAGTATCAGTATCTTAATCAGCATGACCTTAAAAATACTTCCATGAAATTCTGAAGTGTTTTTAGTTCTTATTTCATTAATAACTAAATGACGATTTAGTCATTAGTGTACATCCAGTTTAATGTATTATTGTTCATAATAGGATCATTTTGTAAAAATTATCACAAATGGCTTTTGTGGTATGAAAGCATAAAAACAAAAAGACAGTTCAAAGCTATGAATAAAAGTTACTGAGCATTTTTTCTTGGTTTTTAACATTCCTTACATACTGAAAAGACCTTTTGACATAAAAAAAAACATTGCAGATGTTGGTTCTAAATACAGTTTCAAAAGAGTAAATATTTGGATGTTTCTCAAATGACAAAATGGATTGATTCTACATAGAAATACAGACCATATTTACTCTTTAAATCTCTTTACTGAGTCCAATTATGTGTATAAGTGACAGAGCTGAAGCTAAATCTGACCCCACTGGCGGAGTTGAAGCAGGAGTCTCTTTTGTAAAAATCTACAAAAATCACTGGTCAAAATATTAGAAGAGTAGGTACAACTTGAACTTAAACTGTACCCTAATCCCATCCAACAATAGGATTGCATTATTGCATGGTGCAGTACCAAAGGAGAAGGAGTTTTCTCCTTTGGGTAGTGTTTCAACAGTGTTGGAAGATAAAAAAGACAACTCCTATAAATCCTAAATTTTTCCTAATAATCAAAATGTCAGCTGATGACAGTGGAAAATAGTGGAAAAGCTCATGCACAAACCTGAAAGCAGAAAAGTCCTATGGAATAGATGACATAGTCTTCTCCGGAGGCTCCTGCTGTAGGCAGCACTGCTATCATATCATAAACTCCCAATGTGAAGAAGAGTAAGAATCCCAGAAGGTGACTCCAGATATTCACAGTCTCATTGGACAAGATAAAAAGGCTAAAACAGGAAAACACACTTAAGCTTCCATTCCTTAGGTAGAAGAACTTGTTCTATAAGGAACAAAATAAGCAGGTTTGAACTTGAGTTTATCAAGATACAAGGGGCCTCAAAAATAGAACAAAAGCAATGCGCTCATCTGATACACAAATTAATATTTCCAGAATTACAGATGCAGCCATTCAAAATGGGTGGGGTATTTCACGGCATACCCTGGTGCGCGTATCGCGGTATCACGCAGTGTCACGCGGTATCACGCAGTATCACGCAGTATCACGTGGTTAATCGAGCGTCATTTGACGTCATGCCGGAAACTATCCGGCGTCACCTTGTAAAACCGCCAGGGGGAGCTTAACCTCTCATGTACAGCATTTGAGCTTTTAATTTTGAACTG